AACCAAGAGCTGGTTCTTTGAGAAAATTAACAAGATCGATAAGCCTCTAGCAAAACTCACAAAGAAGGGGAGAGAGAAAACCCTAATAAACCGAATCAGAAATGAAAAGGGGGTCATCACAACAGAAACTACAGAAATTCAAAGGATCCTCAGGGAGTACTTTGAGAAGCTTTATGCCACGGAACATCAAAACCTCGAGGAAATGGATAAATTCCTAGACTCCTACAGACTCCCAAGGCTGAACCAAGAAGACCTGGAATACCTGAACAGACCTACCACCATCAAGGAAATTGAAATGGTAATAAAAAGTCTCCCCAAGCACAAAAACCCTGGCCCGGATGGATTCACTAGTGAATTCTTCCAAATCTTTAAAGAAGACTTACTCCCAATCCTCTTTAAACTTTTCCACGAAATTGAAATATCAAAAACACTCCCGAACAGTTTCTACGAAGCAAATATCACACTGATACCAAAAGCAGACAGAGATACCACAAAGAAAGAGAATTACAGACCGATATCCCTAAAGAACACAGATGCAAAGATCCTCAACAAACTACTAGCAAATAGAATCCAACTACTCATCAAGAAGATCATACACCATGACCAAGTAGGATTCATCCCAGGGATGCAAGGATGGTTTAACATTCAGAAATCAATCAACATAATCCATCATATCAACAAAAGAAAAGATAAAAAGCATATGATCATATCAATAGATGCAGAGAAAGCATTTGACAAGATCCAGCACCCCTTTATGATGAAAACCCTAGCCAAAATGGGTATAGAGGGGACTTTCCTCAACATAGTTAAAGCCATCTACCGCAAGCCTACAGCAAGCATCATCCTCAATGGGGAAAAACTGAGAGCCTTCCCTCTAAGATCAGGAACGAGACAAAGATGCCCACTATCTCCACTGCTGTTCAATATAGTACTGGAAGTACTTGCAATAGCAATTAGGCAAGAAAAAGATATTAAGGGCATTCAGGTAGGAAAGGAAGAAATCAAGCTCTCACTATTCACAGATGATATGATACTATACTTAGAGAACCCAATAACCTCCACCAAAAACTCCTAGAAACAATAGACTTGTATAGTAAAGTTGCAGGCTATAAAATCAATACCCAAAAGTCCATGGCTTTCCTATATACAAACAGTGAGAGAGAAGAAAGCTACATGAAAAAAACAATCCCGTTCACAATTGTGCCCCAGAAAATCAAGTACCTAGGAATCAGCTTAACTAAGGAAGTAAAGGACCTGTACAAACAAAACTACAAAACGCTACTTTAGGAAATAAAAGAGGACATGAGGAAATGGAAAGATATCCCCTGCTCATGGGTCGGGAGACTTAACATTGTCAAAATGGCAACACTACAGAAAGCATTGTATAAATTCAATGCAATTCCTATAAGGATACCCATGACATTCTTCAAAAAAATGGAGCAAACACTCCTGAAATTTATATGGAACAATAAGCCCCCACGAATAGCTAAAGCAATTCTTGGGAAAAAGAAAATGGGAGGAATCAACCTCCCTAACTTCAAACTGTACTACAAAGCAGTAATAATTAAAACAGCATGGTACTGGAACAAAGGCAGAACTGCAGACCAATGGAACAGGGTTGAATACACGGACATCTCCCCTCAATCATATGATCATCTAATCTTTGATAAAGGTGCAAGTAATGTGAAGTGGAGTAAGGAAAGCCTCTTTAACAAATTGTGCTGGCATCACTGGATGGCTACATGCAAAAAAATGGGCTCAGAACTCTGCCTAACACCATGTACAAAGGTAAGATCAAAATGGATTAAAGACCTCAACATCAGACCAGAAAACATAAGGTACATTGAAGATAAAGTTGGCAAAACCCTCCATGACATTGAAGCTAATGGTATCTTCAAAGATGCCACGCCACTGGCCGAGCAAGTGAAAATAGAGATAGATAAATGGGACTATCTTAAACTAAGAAGCTTCTGCACCTCCAAAGAAACAGTGACCAAAATACAAAGACAGTCTACAGAATGGGAAAGGATATTCGCGGAACACACATCTGACAAGGGGTTGATATCAAGGATATACCAAATACTGGTTGAACTCCACAAGAAGAAAACATCTAACCCCATCAAAAAATGGGGTAATGAAATGAACAGACACTTTCTCAAAGAAGAAATCCAAATGGCAAAAAAGCACATGAGAAAATGCTCTACATCATTAATTATCAGGGAGATGCAGATTAAAACCACAATGAGATTCCATCTCACACCTCAGAGACTGGCCCACATCCAAAAGAACAAAAGCAACCAATGCTTGCGCGGATGTGGTGAGAAAGGGACACTCTTTCACTGTTGGTGGGAATGTCGACTGGTTCAGCCTTTCTGGAAAACAGTATGGACAATTCTCAAAAAATTAGAAATTGAGCTCCCATTTGACCCAGCAATACCACTCCTGGGAATATATCCCAGAGAGGCAAAAATGTGTAGTCGAAGTGACATCTGCACTTGTTTGTTCATTGCAGCACTCTTTACAATAGCCAGAAACTGGAAGAAACTTGAATGCCCAAGAACAGATGACTGGTTAAAGAAACTTTGGTACATCTACACAATGGAGTACTATGTAGCTGTTAGAAAAGATAAAGTCATGAAATTTATATACAAGTGGTACAACATGGAAAGTATCATGCTAAGCGAAATGAGTCAGAAAGAGAGGGATAGACATAGAAAGATTGCATTCATCTGGGGAATATAAAGAAACAAAATATGAGATTAATACCCAAGAATAGCTGAGATCAACAGCAGGAGGATTACTCCATAGCTTAGAGGCCAGCCGGGTATCCTAGAGGAAAGGGCAGCTCAGATAGAGAAGGGAGCACCAAATAAAGGGTGTTTGGAGGATCCTCCCAGGAGGGGAGATGCATGTTGAAAGTAGACTATGGACTGAACATGTTTGCCACTCAAAGCCTCTTTTGTAGACCACAACACCCAAAAGGAGAGAGAGAACACAGGGGATTGCCCTGCCACAGAGGCAGGGTGAGATGGGAGGGATGGGGGTGGGAGAGATATTATCCATGGTGGTGGAAAATGGGCACTGGTGGAGGGATGGGTATTTGATCATTGTATAATCGAAACCCAAGCACAAATAATTGTAAATCTACAACTGTACCTCATGGCGTTTCACTAAAAATAATTTAAAAAAATAATAAAAAAATAAAAAAATTCTGAATTTTGTAAATTTATAATTCTGAAAACAAAATTGTTTAAATTATCTCCAAATTATAAAACTCATTTTTCCCACTAATGGCAAATATACAATAAAAAATTCTAAAAGTTGATTTTTTTTAGAATTGAATAATTCTAAAAAAAATCATAAAAAATATGTTGAAAAATATACAACTCTAGGTTAATAAAAAAAAATCCAGACAGCTTATAAATTCAGTGTCTAAGTTTAGCTGTTATTTTTTTCTTTTTCCATAAACAACTGCTTTCATGGGGTGGAAAGGCTTAACACTGTACTACTATCTTTTTGTTTGTTTGTTTGGGGACCAGACCCAGTAATGCTTAAGTAGAGCTTACTTCCTGCTCTATCTATCCTCAGGAATCATTTCTGGTGGGGTTGGGGGACCATATGGGGTACCAGAGATCAAACCAGGTCAACCATGTGCAAGGCAAGTGCCCTATTTGTTACACTTTTTCTCCAGCCCCCCTCTTCACTATCTCTGAATGCAAACAATATATAAATAAATACAATAACAAGGACAACACAATTATTGAAGGTAACTTGGCTTATCCATTTATTTCATAAGTCTATGAAGTAATAGAGAATCAGAAGGTTAACTGACTGTTGGAAAACATTTTCTCTCTCAGAGCTTTTAGAAATTTCTTTTTATTTATGTGAGGCTATGATAATTTCTCTCAATCAGCCTTTCTTGGAAATTTTTAATATTTTGATTTTTAAAATAACTACCTTAAATAGTACATCATGTTATTTTTACTGAGTCTAATCTTTGCTCATTTTTAATTTAAAAACTAAAAGTACATTTTTTCAAAGGTAAGAAGCCTAGCAAGTAATGTTCAGGCCAGCCTGTGGGTTGTTCATTGTGAGGCCCAAAGTATGTGGTACTGCTCTGTCCTGCAGTGCCAGGGATTATCCAGGCCATCCCAGTGATGCTCAGGGACCAGCAGGTTCACAGCCAGTAGTGTTTAGAGACTTCCAGAGCTGCACCTGGCACCTGGCAATGATCTGGGGACCACAGAGTGCCAAGAATAGTACAGTGGTCAACTTCATGCAAGGCATGCACCTTAATACTTGTACTATTTCTCCAGTTCCTAAAATATGTGATTCTTTTAGATGAATGTATTCTGAAAGTTTATCATGTGTATCCCTTTACCTACATTCAACAACACTAAATAATCTTGTCCACCACGATCATTTCCAATTATCATTATCATATTTCTTTCTTATCCCTTCTCTGTGTCTCTATCTGGTCCTTTTTAGTGTCTGTATTTCAAATCATAATACCCAAAATGAAAGAGAGAGAGAGAGAGAAAGAGAGAGAGGTGGGGGTGGGGACGATGAAAGAAAGAAAGAAAGAAAGAAAGAAAGAAAGAAAGAAAGAAAGAAAGAAAGAAAGAAAGAAGGAAGAAAAGTGCCTGCCATAGAGGCATTGGGGAAGGTGTCAGAAGGAAACAGGACATTGGTGGTGGAAAATGTGCACCTGTGAAGGGATAGGTGTTGGAACATTAAAAGAGAGAGAGAGAGAGAGAGAGAGAGAGAGAGAGAGAGAGAGAGACTTTTGTATCCCTGTAGTAATTAATGTATGAAGTAAACTTCACTGGATGAAAAGCAGTAGCACAGAACTCAATACTTAGCAAAGCTATAATTTAATGTCACTAAAATATTAGCAATTAGAATGTTAATATCATGCAAATGACATTTTTATATAACAGAATTTCAAGATATTAAGTCATGGAGCACTTAGGCAATAGAAATGTGACCTGAATACTTACCCTCAGAAACAAAATGAGTAACTATGCCAATTGCAATTCCTATGATTGCTACAATTGCCAAAGTGAAAAGAGCAAGACGAATGGAGTCCCAATACTGTTGTCTTCTTTGATATTCGATTTGTGGATAATCACCTTCTGAAAATTCAAGTGGTCTGTGATAATAGAAATAAATAAAAAAGCAATTAAAAAATCACTGTGGCTCTATTATATCTCCACTTGTTATGTTTCAGAAAAGAGTACATATGCTAAATAACAATACATTGTTGGGTATTGAAAATGTAAAGTTACCACTTCTATACTATTCCCAGTTACAATATAAAGTTTTGGTTAACATTCTTCTTTTGTTGTGGTTTGTTTCTTTGTTTGCTTTTAGGTGACACTTGGCTATGTTCAGGGCTTACTCCTGGCCCTATATTCAGGAATCACTCCTGGGGGAGCTCAGGAAACCCTACGCAATGCCAGAGATTTTACAAGGTCAGCCACATGCAAAACCAATGTCCTACCACTGTACTATCGCTCTGGCCCCAAAGGGTTAATTCCTATTGATGTTGACATTCAAGGATGTTAATATTCAGGTTAAGAATGTCTTCCTTCTAGATTTCATCTGATATTTTGTCAACTTGAAGTAAAGACACTTTAAAAATGGTAATTTATTTAAAAATTTTATATTTAATAAGGAAATTTTAAAGTCCTATAATGATAACCTCAGTTTTACTTAATTTAAATACAATATTTTAATATGCTATTCTGTGAGTCAGTCTTCTTAATGACTTATTTTAAATATTACTTTGAAGAACTATTTGCATTTTATTAGCACCTCCCAGTGAAATCACAAATTGTGAACTGTACTTGATAAATGTCTGGTCTCCTGACAACTTCCCATTGATTCTTACTCTTGTCCACTCTGGTACTTCTTACCACTCAAAATATCTTCTCAGTTAAATTATCTTTATCCAGTTTAAAAGTTGGCATTTAATTTTCTGAATTTTCATGTAAGATTCAAAGTTTATTATTTTGGTAGTAAGATAGTTTCATATGCTATTTATTTACATATTTTGGTTTAGAGGCTACACTTGTCTATACTCAGGGATCACACCTGACTCTGTGCTCCAGGCTCACTCCTAACGGGGTACAGGGAACCAAACACAGGTGCTGAGAATCAAACCTGGCTAGGTCACAGTTAAGATGAGTGCCCTGCTCTCAATTTCATGTCGCTGGCCCAAGTTTTCGGTTTTAATTTTATCTAACAATATCTCTTAAGAATTTATTTATTAAATATAATCATAGAAATTACCTGAAATAATACATACTACATTATAATGTTTAGTAACATTATCTATATCTATTGAGTTATAAAAACTTTAGTACATAGTCTTTATACTTAAGATACAATGTTTAATGACGATATAGATAAATACACCTGATTACAAGTAATTAGTATAGAATATAAAATGTGTCCATGGAAAACTGGTCAAAAAGAGAAAATGGGGTCTGGAGAAATAGCACCGCTGGTAGGATGCTGGCCTTGATGTGGTTGACTCAGGTCCTATCCCAAGCACCCCATATGGTTTCCAAGTACCAACATGAACACAGAGTCAGAGATAAGCTCTCAGCAACACCAGGTGTGACTCAAAAACAAGAGAGAGAGAGAGAGAGAGAGAGAGAGAGAGAGAGCACAATAAATCTGGAGAAAGGCTGAGTGTGAGGAGATTTTATCAAGGTGACATGATTAAACTTGGGTAATAATTTACTAGGTATATAGAGGTCAGGGAAGAAGATAGTGCTAGGTTGCATGTTTTGCATGTATTGAGGGCCTGGGAACTTTGGCACTGTAGCACTGTCCTCCCATTGTTCATTGATTGCTTGAACGGACCCAGTAACATCTCCATTGTGAGACTTGTTGCTGTGTTTGGCATATCGAATATGTCACGGGTAGCTTGCCAGGCTTTTCATGCGGGCAAGATTCTCTTGGTAGCTTGCCGGGCTCTCTGAGAGGGGCGGAGGAATTGAACCCGGGTCTGCCAGGCCAGCCAGGTGCAAGGCAAACAAAGTACCACTGTACTATCGCTCTAGCCCATGGCACATACACAAAATTCTCAGTATAAGAAAACTTTTTAAATTTAGAGAAAATAAAATGTGCTTTATTTCCCCCACCTCAACAAGAAAGAGAGAAAGAAAAGAAAGGAAAGAAAGGAAGGAAAGAAAGAAAGATAGAAAGAAAGAAAGAAAGAAAGAAAGAAAGAAAGAAAGAAAGAAAGAAAAAGGAAGAAAGAAAGAAAGGGGAGGAGGGAGGGAGATAGAGGGAGAGAGAAATGGTATGTGAAATAGTATTCGTTACTAATAATTAGTATGACAATAAAATATATATATATAAAGCATGATATTTGCCCTCAGAGAAACCACAGTCCTTTAAACCGTGTTCACCATTTAAGTATTTGACAACATTGCTTGCTAGGAAGAAGATAAGTTCTTGCTGCATCAAAACTTTGACATTAACTTTGTAGGATATGGAGCTTCAGTAAAAGTTTTTAACAATAAGGATTTAAAATGAACAAAGATGTATAAGGACGTATAAGGATGCAGTTAACGGGAAATAAATCTTTAAAGTTAAAGGTCATTTTGAAGGTGCACGAGAGAGATAGGACGGCCTAACTAAAGCTGAAGTAATAATGTGGAGAGGAAGAGGTAAATTTAGCTGGAGTTCTTCAACTTCATTTGGTTGATGGCTTAACAACGAGTGGGTCAGAGAAAGAATTTTTGCGTGATTCTGAGCACAACATGGATTTGAATGCCAGTGCTACATGGTTCCCTGGCATCAGGCGGGTGTATCCCTAGATGTGCCTGAGCATGGCTGAGGGTGTCCCAAATGATTCTTGTACTGAAAAATCTGAGTAGAACCTCATCCATAGCTTTTGCTTGAAACTCCCAGCCTAGTTGGCGAGAATTACTGATGGAGCTCCCAAGCTTCATGTGCATTGCTTGGGAGCATCCAAAAAATAAATGAAATAGAAAACTTAGTCATGGAAATTTGTGAAAAAACAGAGTTAGAGTTGAATGGGAATCTTTTACACAGGACCTTAAGAGTGGGGAAAGTGGTTATTTAATCTAACCCAAAGAAGCCAACACAGAGAATCAAGTAAAATAAATAGACAAAAAAGTCCCAAATGAAAGATTAAGATAAAAATCTTATGAAGAAAAAAACACACCAATTAAATGAATATAACTAATTTACCTGTTAAAAAATTCAAAATTAATAAATAGCAATACGCCTACATTTAAAAAATCAAAACTATAGAGACAATACAGGAAATAAGTGTTTGCCTTGTAGACAATAGTAGCTGAACCTTATTTGCTTCCCATCTACGCATATGGGTCCCCTGAGCTCTGCCAAGAGTGACCCTTAAGCAAGAGTAAGCCCTGAGCACTGCTCGGAATAGTCAGACAAACAGTAAACATAAAAAGAGTTCAAAGTAATGATTATTAAAATGTTCATTGTGCTCAGGAGAGAATAAAAAAACATTTTCTGAAGAGAATTGATAAACAGTGAGAACCTAAGAGCAAACATTAAAAAATACTATAAAACGCTACTGCGGTAAGGTGATCTTAAAATTTATCAATCTAATCCAGCCTTTTTTGCATGAGAAAATAGGGATCCTCAATTGCTCAACAATCTTCTCAATACAAATGAAAATACCAAATAATAGCAACAAAGCTAAAATGTTATGTTATCAACTATCAGAAAATATCTATTTTATACACACCCGCAATATTTTCTTCAACGTTCTTACAAATTTGGTTTTATTTATGTGAGCGGGTAGGGCGTCTGCCTTGCACGCAGCCAACATGGCCGACCCGAGTTCGATTCCTCCATCCCTCTCGGAGAGCCCGGCAAGCTACCGAGAGTATTGGATATGCCAGACACAGTAACAACAAAGTCTCCAATGGAGACGTTACTGGGCCCGCTCGAGCAAATCGACGATCAACGGGAGGGCCTTTATTATTTTATTTTTATTTTTATAATAACTTAGCTCACATCAGCTTTTCTTATATTGTTTTATTAATGTTTTGATTTTAAGAACAATTATTTTAAATGGTATATCATGCCAATTTTCTTGATTCTGTTGTTTTCACTTTTTTATTTAAATTGTATACTTTTTTCTAGGTATTTCTTTTAGATTATTGATTGAAATGCAAGAAACCAAACAGAAAAACTATTTAAAAATCTAATAAAATATGAAAATCATAGATGTATCATAGTATTTTAGTCAGATTAAAGAATAATGAATTTTAAAATATCATGACAATAAAGACAGTCTCTTGGTTCATAATATATTCTTATTTCAGAATTTTCAGAGTTATCATTTTTGCCCACTTAGAGTTACATTAAACTACATGGTTGATCTTTATTTTAAGAGTTATTGGAGGACATTCAAATGATAACAGAGACATCCCCAGACTGGAGGAAACTTTCTTACACATCAATTATCACTTCACTGTTATGTATTCTCTGGTGTCATTATTATAAATTTACATAGTGAAGGTTTAGGTTTTAAACTCAGATTTAGGATTCAATTTCTCCCTGTAATTTAACTCAATATGACTTAAGTTGCTAATCTGAGATAATTTTGGAGGATGGCTTGGTATAGTTCTGTGCTTCTTTTTACACCTTAACTCTCTTTTATTTTGTTCTGGTTTATTTTATTACAAAATTACTATTCCAACCAATTCATGACTGAAATATGTTAATAGCAATTTCTCATTTCTAGACTTAAAATTACAATTAGTATATGTTTGCATATGCTCTAAGCTGTATCTCCAGAAAGTCTTATTACATAATAAAAATATTATTCGTATTAAATAATCAGCATTATTGACAAGTCCTGACTGGTAGCATTGATTGATTAATTCTCAGCTTCTCTGAAATAATTGAATTCTATAGCTTTGGCGCAAACTATACATATACATATATATATCACACAAAAACCCTTTGTTTTAGACATATATACATATATATCTGTATAACAAAATAAGTTCTGTATTATATATGTGTGTTTTGTTTTTTCCTCTTTCTGGGGAGAGCCATACCTGGAAGTATTCAGGTGCTATTTCCATCTCAGTACTCCCAGCAGTGTTTGGGGAACGAGGTGGTATC